CCGTTAAAATGAATAATTTTTAAAACACCAAAGCCAAACATATGTAAATTACCCCGTTAATATGAATGTCACTAATAAAACTTTATAAACCATAAACCAAAGAAGTTTTTAAGTTTTTTGAAGCCATTTATATGTAAAATTGCCCCGTTAATCCGAATTTTTATAAACCAAAGTAAAATGAAAATTGGACCAATAATAATAATATAAAAGTTATACAAATACATGTGTATGTTGTATGTGAAATTGAAATCTATAATTAAAATTTTGGGGTGGAGTGTTTGGATATGAAATTCTGATTGGCTAATTTGAATGTGCAAATTCACAAATTTCATTTTCACGCACAACATGTACAAAAACTAATGGCCAGGGTAGATTTTCCTCTAGTGCAAACAAGAGGAAAAAAAAACTACTGAAGAAGTTGGGGTATCAAAAAGAAAACATATGCCTATAACAATCTCACAAAAATTATAAATATGCATTGAAAAAAATAATGACCAAACATAAAAAATAACCAGCTTGCATCTAAATATAATGTCAGTAAATCTACTGTTTCTGAAATTCTAAAAAAGAGCGATTATTTTTTATCATTGAATCCAAATCAATTCACTGCCAGAAAATGGATAAAGGAAATTCTAAGTCCCCCGTTTATCCGAATTAATTTATGACTCTAATAATAACTTCGGATTATAAAAAACCCCGTTAATCCGAAGAAAAGTTCCTGCACAATTGCCTTCGGTTTAACGGGGTTGCCTATGTATATGAAACATATACCGATCATTTCTTAAAATCGAACTCCAAAATTTGTTTATGTGGCGCAGCATTTGATAACCTGATGATGACACGCATTAGACTGGGTATTTGATTAGGTATTCATTGAACCATCCTTGAGAAAATCAAGAAGCTTTTTTTGTAAAAGGTCGTGTGATCCTTGTGTTCAAACAAGGAAGGCGTTATGACAATGACAAAATGACCAATGACCCTGTCATAAAGGCTATATGACCTTGACGTACACCAATGACACTGTGCACCTGCATCAGTAAAAAATTTGGCTGTTTATTGATAAATTTAAAACCAATAAATTATGTATGTTCTGATGTTGAGAGGACTTTCATAGGTGATGTAACTAAGTTACAAAACAGCAAAAGATATTTAGAATTGTGGCATAAATGCAAAAGTTTCAATATCAACAACGTGTTTCTTTACATGTACCAAATGAATGGATGAAGAAAAATAGAATAGGAACAATAAAGTAGTAGTGATAGTTAAGGAATTGAATTACCAGAATGAATATGGATTTGGTGGATGTGGATGAAAAAAATCGTTCAGAGTATAGGGTAGCAAATCACAAGCATGTATATCAATATGTATCACCTTTTTAATCGAATTTGGTTTGATCCGTCATTATAAAAAACCAGTCAACACTCACTAGCCACATATATACCTTTTACTACTTCGCAGATCAGTTTGTACGACCGTGGGTAAAATTTTTTTTAAAAAAAACCATTAAAATCGTAATAATGTTTTTTTAAAACGATAAAATTCAATAACTTTGTAGGCATCCTTGCTTAAAATGTGTGTTTGTTTCTCCTCTACATACATTCAATTGAATTAAAGGTGTTTTTTTTTTGTTAATTTTTGACCATTTTTCTTCCAAAGCAAATTCCAGATTCGTTGTATTTTAGGAAGTTGCTTCTTTTTTTGATTGTCTTTCAAGTTTGCTCAATTGTATCAAGAAGGCCTAAATATTTATTTGCTGTGATTCAGCCAGCTCTCCGTTTCTTGTCATTTTAAAATTTTTATCAATTTTGATCTTCATAACAATTATAATGGTTGATCTATTTTTAATTACAATCATCATACCGTTTTTATATCGTTTTTAAATTCTTTGTGGGCTATAACCGATTATATAGAGTATATAAAAAAAGGAAATCCGCTCCAGCTCAATGTGGGGTACAATGGAAGTAATAAGATCGGATATAAACAAGGGTATAAAAGAGGTACTTATTTTTTAAACATGGTAAAATTATGGGATATAATTTTTATGTATAAGATTTTGTGTAGCATTTTCATGATATCTAAACTATAACGACATTTGTTTGTTACTAGAAAATAATTTAATTGCATAATTTTTACATTAACTAAAAAAAGTGTTAATCGAAACAAGAGAAGAAATTCCTCTAATTTACTGCTTAAAAAAAAAAAAAAAAAAAAAAAAAAAAAAGTAATATTATCATTGTTGTTGTTTGTCGTAGTCGTT